ATGACATACAACTCAGACTGGGAACTTGGTGCTTCAGATTCTGAAGAGAAGAGCGTCCAAGACGATAATGCCACTAAAAAGGAGTCAGTGAGGTCTATAGAGCCCGAGTAGATGAACCAAAATCAAAGTAATATAGGCCACTAACTTCATCTCCCANAAAAATGACATACAACTCAGACTGGGAACTTGGTGCTTCAGATTCTGAAGAGAAGAGTGTCCAAGACGATAATGCCACTAAAAAGGAGTCAGTGAGGTCTATAGAGCCCGAGTAGATGAACTAAAATCAAAGTAATATAGGCCACTAACTTCATCTCCCATACTAATTTTCCTCTTTGTCTTGAGATCTTGAAAGACACAATAAGAGGGATAAAAGATTACAAAACAATGGAGAGAATGAGTAATCTTACTAATGGAAAGTAAACTAAATGGAAACTGAGGAATAAATAACACGGAAGATAGGGACATATCAGGACTCAAGTGAGTAGGCCCCAGACTTGAATCTTTAGAACAAGTACCGTTAGCAAGAGTAACACTACGTGTAGAAGTAGCAGACTAATAAGTAGAAAAAACATCAGACACACCAGTCATATGGTCAGAAGCGCCAGAGTATATGATCTAAGGACTGCAAGTGGAGGACAATAAACAAGAAGTAGTACCTGACTTGGCAAAAANGAACAAGTACCGTTAGCAAGAGTAACACTACGTGTAGAAGTAGCAGACTAATAAGTAAAAAAAACATCAGACACACCAGTCATATGGTCAGAGGCGCCAGAGTATATGATCTAAGGACTGCAAGTGGAGGACAATAAACAAGAAGTAGTACCTGACTTGGCAAAAGNCCTTTTGGTAAGTTTTTTTTAAAATTTGAACTTTTGGAAATGCATTTGCCATGCTTTTCGGCATTTTATAAATGATGTAAATGGACAATGACAGAGTGTATATTGTGGTACGTTGGGCCTCGAATGGGTCATATAGTTGAAATGTGCACAAGTTATGCGTTGAGATTTCTCGGAACAAGGGAGATTCTATCCAAACGTCATATTGCTTATGATCCCGGTGAAAGGATGTTGTACCATGGTGTCGGTTTATGCGGCATTCACGGGTATTTTCTCAAGTTGATGGGCGATCAACGGGTTAATAAATGACCCCCGATTTTANAATAGTAGTGGAGAGAGATGGAACAACCTGTTGTTGGGACAAGAATTGAACATACTCCTCTCGTGTAAAAGTAACCGACCCAGTGTCTGGTAGAGCTGACCGAGGTATGGAAGTAGCAACAGAGGTGTCATCCTGATAGGAAGCCTGATTCGCAGTACCAGAAGGTTTTTCATGTAAATCCCAACAAAATTCAACAGTGTACCCTCCATGACCGCAGTGAGTACAAGAACGAGGTCCACTATGGCACGACCACAACGACCCCCTTGACCACAACGACCACCTCTATGACTATCACTATGGCTCCTAGGAACCACAAGAGTTGAGCGATCAGTGGAAACACCATGATTGATACCTAAAGGAGACAAAGTAGCACGCTGTATACGAGAGAAAACCTCAAGTAATGAGAGAAGACTAGAACCACCAAAAATTTAAGAACGAATAGCCTCATATTCAAGTTTTAATCCTACCAAAAAGCTAACAACATTCATGTCCTCATGTTGTTTCTGCCAAACTGATTTTTCAAAGTCAATTTTCAACATTACACCATCCTCTCCCCTTTCCCAGTAATCATCAACTATCTCGTTGGCAACAAGCAACACATCCAGAAGCTGTCTATCCCTTTAGAAAAGGATATAATGTCACTCAAACAATCCCAAAGTCTGAGAGAAAGAATCCTAGCAATAATCTTTTATAAACTAGTAACAAGACATATAGGTCTAAAATCCTTCAGCTTAAAAGAATTCAATTTCTCTGGGATAAGACAAATATATGTGGCATTTGTAACCACTTCATTTTGAAAGAATTCCTCAAACACCTTCATTAAGTCATCCTTCAGCTCTTCTCATACAAACATGAAAATTTTTCATAGTGAAACCATCTGGACCTATAGTTGTCTTTACCACATTCAAAGACAGGTCTCCTCATTTCCTCAATCTCAAAAGGCCTTTCCAACCACAAAGCGTTTTTTCTACCAATGAGACACCACTACAAAATCATCAAAATAGTTCTAGGATGCTCTTGAATTGAATAAAGATTAGCAAAGAAATGAACGATCTCCCTCTCAATTAATTTCTCATCCTCCGCAATCAAACCACTATCAAGCTCTAGTTTGTTAATGATCTTCTTCACCTTATTACCATTAGCAACCCTGTGAAAGAACTTTGAATTATTGTCACCCTCTTTCTTTCAGTCACTTCAGTCTAGGCTTTTGTCTCTAGCATATCTCTTCTTTATGCACCACTTGCTAAAACTATTCCCAAGTTCCTTCCTCTCCATTCTCATAGCCTAATCCATTTATAGCCTAATCCATTCCCTCTTTCCCTTCTAGCCTATCAATTTCCCCAATTCAGTTTTGAATGATCCGTTTAATTTCTCGAACATCTCCAAACACCTTTTTATTCCCTCCCTTCAACTTTTGCTTTACAAACTCAAGTTTCTTCATGAACTTACCCTTCCACCTTGAAACTCTCTTTTAGACCACCATTCCCTAACCTCTCTTAAAATCTATATTCTCCACCCACATATTCTCAAACCTAAATAGACAAGGACCCCATCTAAACTTAGAATCTTGAATGACAATAGGGCAATGGTCTAAAAGTACTCTAGGCAAAGCCTCTTGTCTAACACCAATAAAACAATCTTCCGACCCAAAAGAAAAAAAACCTGTCCAAAAGCTTGCATGCAACCCTATCTCTTGTCATACTTTTGGTAATTCTACCTCCATTCAATTTCTCCATCGGGTATCTTGTAACATTAACATCCTCGGCCCCCCAAAATGCACCACCCAGGGCTGGACAAACCAGTTAACTCTTCCCATAAAAGAGCTCTAAACCTAGGTTTATTTGGTTTATACACCTTGTAAGCCACCAATCGAAACCATCACTATGTCTAACTCTAACTGAGAGCGTGTAAGCTCCTTTAATTGACTCATCCACGTTCACTCATTTCTCATCCCATATTATTATAGTCCCCCCGACCTCCCAATAGACGATAGAAGTATCTTGTTTTTTAACAAACCTAGACCACCAAACACTCTTAATAATCCTTCTATTATTTCCAATTTAGTTTCCTTGAAAACAACAATATCAGGCTCCTTTCTAACCAAAAAAATCTTTAATTACACTCTTCCTCCACAACCCTAGACCACCTACATTCCAGTTGACGATCTTCATAAATAACTAACATTCCTTCTCTATCCCTTCGAGATTTCCCTACCTTATAATTTATTCCTAAATGCAAAAATTGCTTTNTCTCTATCCCTTCGAGATTTCCCTACCTTATAATTTATTCCTAAATGCAAAAATTGCAACTCTGTAGTCCCACTTTTCTTCATCACACTCCTCCCATCGCCCTTGTTTTTAGCTTTTGTTTTAGCGGACACCAATAGCAAATCCATTTTTTGCAAAAAATTCTTCAAATCTACCCATTTTTCTTCGGCAGACACAATTGACGTCATTATTATTCTCTCTAATCCCTGAAATCTCACACCATTCACCTCTCTTCCATGACACACAATAGCCCTTGTAGTTATTGCGGAGGCACTCTTAATGGCTATCATTTTTTCACTTTACTCATTTCATGAAATGGGGACAAGTGTTATAACTACTTTTATCTTGCTTATAAGCTTTACCTTTCACTATTATACCTAGTCATTGCCACTATAAGATGTATCACAGGATATGAAAACTATGTGTAGCTTTTTCCTCACTTTTAAGAAGTCGGGGAGGCATGATCGGTATGAAAGTGTTTAGGTATAGGATATTTCAAAATAATACTACTTATAAGTGAACAAATAAATTTTTACACTTTGTTTTTCCTTTTCTCTTTAGAAAAACATGTTTGATAATTGTTTTCCACTACTATTAAATTTTTATGTGTTGGTACCTATGAAGCACGGATATGAGATACGAGTATGATACAGATATGACAATATGACAAAATTTTAAAAAGTACGATACGAATAAGGTCAGGATACATCTATAACAAAATATATTTCATATATTTACTATTGGCTTAATCATTGTATATTTTGGTAATTCTTTAACATATAAGGAAAATTAGCATTTTTTTTCTAGTTTTTAAAAATTATATATCATATTATTATGGTATATTCACAAAATGAAGTGACTCTAATTAAAGGAATCAAAAATAATATTTATTTAGTTGGATTATTTAGAAGTATTTATAGTTAAGATTATAATATAATAGATTCATTTAATGTTCTTTTGACATGTAAGTAGATAATACTTAAAAAAATATTCTTGTGTCTTCAAAGTCATATAAATTTTTGTTGATGTATTATATATATGTAAATTCAAAAGGAGATATCAAAGTTTAAATTAAAAAATTATTCATATTGTTCTAATAAAAAAATATCTGCAAAGATCCAAATATTTTATAATTATTGGATATGTAGGAGTATTCGATACGGGTACACCGACCTCAACAAAGTATTTGTGTTTCATAGGTTGGTACTTAGTTGCATATTAATGTATACGGAAGACTATTATAATTCCTAGTTATAGATGTAGAGGTGTATGCATGTAGACATATAGGCTATGCTTGGATATTCTTACATATACGTGTATGTGTTTACAATTATAAGTGGAGATAGAACTATAAATGTGCTTATTAAGTGAGGTAGCCAACTTGGATGAGAAAACTGAAGAAGCAAGTTTTTCTTTTGCGTATAAATAGAGACAAATTTTCTTGTAGACACAAGATATTTATACATTTCTAAAACTACTTTTGGGGCACAAATAAAATGCAACTTTACCAAGTGGTACCTTATTTGAATTTATTGTGAGTTCACTTGTTAACAGTCTCAAAGAACAATGAGAAACATGAAAGTCTTTTTTCTGGTGATTTTCTGGCACCTCGTTATAGTGGCATATGTTGTGTTATCTCCCAAAGTTTACCATGCTCATTAGCAGTTGTTTGTTTTGAACAGGTGTACAAACGCAGTTATGATATATGCATGCAGCTTTATGAGAAAGAGCTTTTGAAAGAGAATTCCTATTTGTATATATATGGGTATGTTGCTCAGTGTTCCTGTCCATTTACTTGTTTGAATCATCAAATCCTTTTGTATGATTTATAGATTTTCTGTCTGGGTCTTGTTCGTTTATTTTCCAATTGACAGCAAACAATCGTCACAGATGCTCTTTTTTGGGATTTGATTCAGGTTGCAGGGTGTTGATCTTAATGCTCAGCAGCTTGCGATTGTTGCAGTGAGTTGTTGCTAATTCTGATATATGCATTATTTTTTTTTAATATTTCTGAAATGATATTTCCTTGTGGGAGGGAATCCCCATAGAATATGCTATGTTCCTATTCTAGATACCTGTTTGACACGCTGGACTCTTAGATGCCACCAATCCTCTAAATGTCTTTTCACAGAACGATTTGTTAAATGGATGAAATTTAGGAGTGTGTCGATAGTTTATCACATTTAGCTAGTTAGCAATTAGTTACTATATTTTGGTCACTCATCCTTGTCTACTAATTTGCTTGGTTATTACTCATGAATGGTTTGCAGGGGCTTTGCGAATGGAGAGATGTTGTTGCCCGAGCAGAGGATGAGAGTACTGGCTATATTTTACCTAACAAAACTCTTCTAGAAATTGGTATTTGAACTTGATGCAAATTTAATAGCAGCTTTGGATTTGGGCTTAGTATTTCCAGATACCAGGCAATAACTTATTTATGTACTTTTTTTTTTGTCTCTTGTTCTTTTTCTTTTCCTCCCATTACGATAATAGGTAAACAGATGCCTGTGACTGCCAGTCAGTTGCGCCGGTTGATGAAATCGAAGCACCCGTATGTGGAGCGGAATCTTAATTCTGTTGTTAGTATCATTAGGCATTCAATCCAAAATGCAACTACATTTGAAGTTGCTGCTGAACATCTAAAGGAAAGACGCATGGAAACAGTAAGACTCACATATAAAAGTTAGGGTTGACCGTCCTACCTCTGTTTATTTTCCGTCATTGATATCTACTTGGTATGCTGCACCATTGCATGAGTGCCATTGATGATGGTTGCATTGAATTATAGATATTCCTTTAAAATATTTTTTCCCAATTAATGGAAAATAAGTCATAAAAATTAATACACCTTCCACAAGATGGAAGCTCATCAAAATGAAGTTTCCTTTCAACTGCTCAGATGGAGGTAGGGGGAAGATCTATAAATACTTTTTCTTTTAAATGTAGAATATCGTAAATAAAATTTATGGTTTGTGAGTTTTATAAAAGAATAGACAATTATTTCTTCTTATCATATGTGAAGTGCTTTTTTTTTTTTTT